GGGGCGGGATCGCGGGGGGGAATCGGAGATGGAAGGGAGAGGAGAACATACCTGCGGCGGATGCAGCCGGCGAGCAGGGTGTGTGGCTGCGACTGGCGAGGAAGAACCAGAGCAGGCGACTGGCGAGGAAGAATCGTAGAAGTTTAGAAGAAGTAACGGGAGGAAACACCGAATGGAATGGGAGCAAACCCCGATATAAGAGGGGAATTGGAAAAAGCCTCAAACGGCTAGGAGAAGAAGGAAGCCCCATTCCCCTTTTTAACACATATTTTTATTTCATTTTTAATTAATAATTTATTTTTAGGTTTTTTGCTCATTTATGTAGTGGAGGATGAGGTAGGAGACAAATAGGGTAAAACAAACCATTTAAATTTGTATAAATTTCAATAATGGTACCTGAACTTTCACTTAAATTTTGAAATAGTACCTAAATTTCAAATACTTTCACAAAAATCTCTAAACTTACATAATTTTTTCACTAAAAGTTCATTTACTTGTTTCGAGGTTAACTTCGAATCATTTGAGCTAATTGGAATTTATATATTTTAAAATTTTCAATTTAACCCCATTTTTTTCTTCTTCCCCTTCCCACCCCCTTCTTTTTCTTCTTCTTCACCCCTTTCTTCTTCTTTCTTTTTCATCACCACCGCCACAACGGCGGCGGCAGAGGCTGTTCCGGCTGCTGCGGATGCGCCGGCGTCTGTTTCTGGACCAAACCCTGCCAAAACCAGACCGGACCGGTCCTTATTCGGTCCGGTCTCCGGTCCTTAATATTTCCTTATTGTTCCGGTCCGGTCCGGTCCGGTCCACTGGGTTTCGGTCCGGACCGGTGGACCGGTTATATATTTTTTTTTAAATATTTTTTCTATATAGTTTTATAATATTGTATTTTTTAAAGATATTTTCTTATACTTAAAAATTAATTTAATTATAATACTAAAAGTTTTTAAATATTTTGATTTTATTATTTAATATAATTTTTTAAATTTGTTTTCAATTCAAAATAAGATACTAATTCTAATGATATTTAAATATTTTTAATATGAAAAGTTTGAAAAAGTAAATGTAACCTTTATATCAACGAGCTAATGCATTCAAAATTAAGGATGTACTAATACTATAACTTAAATTTATACTTTATCAATAATGAAACTCTAATCAGCAAAAATAAACATTATAAACAATGTCATTAATGAAAATAGTAAAAAAAAAATGTAAGCATTTGCCAAAATAAATCAACTCAAAACATATATTACGAAAAAGCAAAAATGCAGTAAGAAGAAGAATATTTCCTATGTAAAATAAAAATTACAAACAAATTTTATGTAATACGGATGGAAGATATGTATTTTTTTAAAAGTTTTTGAAAAAAAAACAATAGTGTTCGAAAATGTTTAGTGTATGTTACAATTAAAAATTAGTTGTAGTAATATTTTTATTCAATTGAATACTTTAAATTAAATAAATAAAAATTAATTTTTTTAAAAAAATAAAAAATAACATTTATCCGGTCCGGTCCTGGTCCGGTCCGGGTTTTACCGGTACGGTCCCGGTCCTGTCCTTAGCTTAACCGGTCCGGTCCTCGGTTTGACCCGATGAACACCCCTACTACACACCAAAAATATACCCCATTTGTCCCACAGCTCCTTCTCTACCACATATTTTTATTTCATTTTTAATTAATTATTTATTTTTAAGTTTTTTGCTCATTTATGTAGTGGAGGAGGGGGTGGGGGGTAAATGGGGTACACCTTTGGTGTACCCCTAGCATTTTTCTTTTTTTTAAAAAAACAAACCACTCTGGAAACGAGGGAAATCTCATTCCGTTACCCCGAACCATAAGCCTCCTTAAACTATTTGGCTAAATTTTAATAATGGTACCTGAACTTTCACTTAAATTTTGAAGTGGTACCTAAACTTCAAATACTTTCACAAAAATCCCTGAACTTACATAATTCTTTCACTAAAAGTTCATTTACATGTTTCCAGGTTAACTTCAAGTCATTTGAGCAAAATTGGAATTTATATATTTTAAAATTTTCAATTTAACCCCATTTTTTTCTTCTTCTTCCCCTTCCCACTCCCTTCTTTTTCTTCTTCTTCACCCCTTTCTTTTTCTTCACCACCGCCACAACAGCGGTGGCAGAGGCTGTTGCGGCTGCTGCGGATGCGTCTGTTTCTGGTTACTTTTTAACCCTGCTGAAGCTATTTTCGGGTTTGGCGCCGAGTACGAAGCCGGTGCGGATTGGACTGGCTAAAACCCGAATCTAGGAGAGTTCATCAGTCCTCCCGGAGCACAATGCTCCTCGAAATTCATCACCCAGGGAGTCGTCTCCGCCGGCCCAAAGTTCGACAGCCTCCCCGAGAAACCCATCATGGAGTAGAAATCAGAGTGGTTGAAATTCGACAATCTCGGCTATGGTTCCTCGACAAGCTCTGTAAATCTCGGCACCAATGAGGTTCGACGGCCACGGAATCATCGCGAAGCACCGCCTCCCCAAAGTTCGACAACCTCCCCGGCTATTGTTATTTTTCAAATACAAAAAATTACTTTTAATAAAATAATTATAATATAAAGCTAGCGTAAACATAAAAATTAAATTTTAAAAACATTTTGTGGTTAGGTTGCACCTCAGTTTATTTATGCAGTATTTGTTATAAATAATATATTGTAGTTATACTTTAAATATCACACATGTCACATAATATAATCAAACCTATTTTTATTTCATGATTGACATTTTATTTTGATTGTAAGTCCTATTTTTTTGAATAAAGATATGTAACTTTTTTTTTACATTTTAATGTTTTTGCAACGCCACGAAAACCGTCTAGAAGAATTTACTGCGTACGTCACTGATTTCGACTATGGGGGCCCCGCCGGCTTGAAAAAAAATATTAGGAAAAATATTTTGGATTACGTATTCGATTTCCATTTATTTTTCCAATTTCAAAAATGTGATCGGTTTCAAAATCGGGCTCTGTTCGGAAAATAACCCGAAATTCAAACAAATAAACTATTTCTTCCCAAATAGCTAGGGCTTTGGTCCGCTAACCCGCATGAACCGGGTTACAGTTTTACTCATATTTTAGTCTTTTTCTATGTCACTATATTACCAATAATTTTTTTAAATATAGTTTTTTATATTGATATTTTCTTTCCTTATCATGTATATTAATATACAAAAAATTATCCTATTCATGTCAAAAAGTTGAAGAAAAAAATAATGAATATAAATCGTAAAAATAGTGCGATGAAAAAAATAAATTATAAAATATAGCAGTTGTAATAATAATAATAATAGTAATAATAATAATAATACTAATAATAATAATAATAATAATCATCATCATCATCACATTAAAACATTTCATTTTTAGTGTGATTGGTTGGAGAGTATAAAGAATTGGGAGAAAATGAGAATAGTTGGAAGAAACTGAAAAAACTTAAAGTAACTGGAAGAAACTAGAAGAAACTGTAAGTTAAGAGTTCAAGCCCTAAAGAACATTCTTTAAATCATGGGACTTTGTTGTATTTTTGGCCTTGGAAGATTCCGTTTTAGTTTCTCATCAAACTTACACACACAAACAGGAAGAGTACTTTAAATCATGTCTCTTAAAGTTTTTAAGGTTGCTTACAACAATTTTTTTTATTTATTTTCACCCTCCTTCATTTAAACATACTCTATTTTGTATTCAAGTAATTTCCACTAATTTGTTTAATATTTTTTATATTTTCAAAAGGCTATTTTCAATAGGTTATAGTAGTACATCATTTTAAAACTAAAGTATGATTTTTTTATCTTCTTTTTATAAAGTATGTTCTGTTTCATCATCTCATATGTTCTCAACTTCAACAACCATAAAAACTTCTTTCTTGAGCATCTAGTGTGCATAATCTTGTGTTTTGAGCAATTGAGCTTATACAATATATATTTGCAGTATCATATCTCTTCTTTTCAGTTTGGTCCTTGCGTAGAAGTTATTTTTCTATTCGGTTCTCTAAGTAGTTTCATCAGCTGTATACATGTAACCAAATAAGTGCACTAGCATGTACATTATGTGAAAAATAAACTACAATTTTTTGGTTGCAGGTAATAACTCCACCTTGTGTGCCTCTTTCAAATCCTATTTGAATAGGTGCTTTCGGCTCAAGGACATGGGGCCATTATCCTATTTTTTGGGCATTGAGTGTGCTCGGTAAGCCACGGGGATCGTTCTGTGCCAACGCAAATATGCGTTGGATATTCTTCAGGCAGCGGGTTTATTGGGGTGTAAGCCGGCAGACACCCCCATCACGCCAAACCATGGTCGCGTTGTGGGTCGATTGATCTATCTTACTATTACTCGGCCAGATCTGTCTTATTCGGTTCATGATCTCTCTCAGTTTATGCATGCCCCACGTCTTGATCACATGGATGCGGCCAAGCGTGTGCTTCGCTATTTGAAGGGCCACCCAGGATAGTGAATTCTTCTACGTAGTGATAGTTCTCTTCAAGTGTCTGCTTATTGTGACTCTGACTGGGCATCTTGCCCCCTTACTCGCAGGTGTGTTAGCGGTTATTTTATTCACTTGGGTGATTCTCCTATTTCCTGGAAAATGATGAAACAAACTACCGTGTCGCGCTCCTCTATCGAAGCTGAATATCGTGTTATGGCTAACGCTTGTGTAGAGGTCCGGTGGATTCGGGGCCTTCTTGGTGCGCTTGGTGTTACTCCACCAACAACACCCCGCTTATTTTGTGATAATAAATCTGTTTTATTTATTGCTACTAATCCTGTTTTCCATGAGCGCATGAAGCATATTGACATTGATTGCCATATCGTCCGTGAGTGTGTTCATCGCCGAGAGATCTCCACAGCTTATGTCCCTACACGATTGCAGTTAGCAGATCTGTTCACCAAAGCTCTAAACAGACCTCTGTTTTTTTCTTGCTCTCCAAGTTGGGCATTTGTGATCTCCATGCTCCAACTTGAGGGGGAGTGTTAGCATATATAGTTTTACTTTACATTTTGTATATTCTTTCCATGTATGTATCTTTCCTTGTTTGTAATCGGGCTTGGCCCAACGTAGCCTAGTTAACCTACTTGTATTTATACGACGTGCATACTCAATGGAAAACCATTCAACGTTTTACAAATCCTTTATATATATAAAGAAGAGTCGGAGCTATAAGAACGTGACATTTGGCAGAGCTAAAGCACGACATGTGGCAAGATGATGTGGCGACATTTGGCAAAGCTAAAGTGCGACATGTGGACAAACTGATCGGTTTGACATGTGGACATTTTTGCAATTTTTTTCCAAAAGCATACCACCATGGGGTTTGAAACAAGGATCTCATGGTCATTTAGTTGTGTTCCTAACCAACCAAGCTAGGGTGCTTTTTGTTACAATCTCACTAAAGCTTTTATAATGTTTCATAATTAAAATAAGGATTGTATAAAAATTTCTTTTTATTTATAAAAAGAATAATCCTTTAATATAATATTTGAGACTCCGTTTGCTACATGTGCACTAATATATGAGTTGGAAGTATTTCATTGGTCCATTAAGCTTATTTTTTAAAAGGATCTTTTAATATATTTTATTGTATTATATTAAAGGAAAAATTACCCAAAATAATCCCAACTTTAGCCAGTCTTTCAAAAATAATCTCACCTTTCACTGTGATGCATAATAATCCAAACTTTACTAAAATTTGTCAGTTTTGGGTCGCCGTTAAATTTCTAACGGAGGGTTAACGGAAATGCATGTTTTAGGCAACAAAATGAAAGTTGAGATTATTTTTGATGAATTTTCATTTTTTTTTTTAAATTTTTCATTTAAATTTTTTAAATTACTTTATACCTCCATCATCATTTCTTTTTCATTTTTTAAAGATTAGTCTTAGTTTAGAAAATAAAAATAATAAATATAAAAAATGAAAAAAATAACAAATGTAACTAAAATGATACAAAAATAATAAAATAAATAAGGTAATCAATGGAAACTAACTTGAAATTGGTAAAAGTAAAATAAAAGTATACGGGTGGGTTTTAATATTTTACGCATTATACAAAGTATTAACATATCACTTCTTATTGATTACATTATTTAT